CTTAACAACCCCTATAGTAGTACCCTATATGATCCCGTCTATAACCACCCTTTAAGGAGTTTAGACTATAGTTCATGTCAGGCTGGTTCCCTTGGGCGAGCAACGCTTGTCTGAACAATACTTCTTTAGACTTCCCAAGAGGCAAAGCGAACCCTCTAAATGCAGCCTGACCAGTCTGGGGAATACTCCGTCAGAGGCAATACTGCAAACGGCAGGAAGAGTACGTGCAAGCGGCAGGCTTGAGACACGTAGCCTTTGCTTGGCACAGCACCCTCAAACGCGGTGCAAACCACGGCCAGAATGCAGCTCGCCTAGGAAATTCAATGTCGCATGCTGGATCCAATGCTTGTTGATCTGCCAAGTACTGTTTTGCGCTTCTACACTGGCTACATGGAAGTCGTTCCAGAGAACATCGAACCTCCGTGACACGTTGAGGAACAACTGTCCCGAGCCACTGGCTTCTTGAGTGCCTGAAAGGCCAAATTTGGTAGCCAGCTGCGATAGTGCCTTCCACAGCAAAACCAAGCCAAAGCTAGAATTGACACGCTGCAGGCTGCTGGAGGCTGCTGCATCCGGATCATGGCTCATCATGGCTCAGTCAAGCAGCAACGAGTCTCGGAACATCGATTCTGCTGCGCGCAGAAGGACCGACCAGGTTGAAGAACATCGGTGCCTGATCACGATAGATAACCCAACTGTTGCAAGTTTGTGGTTCGTACTCTTCGTGCTGGTTGCTGAGGACGAGATGCCTGAGGAGTTCGTATGTTTAGTCGGCCACATGCATTGAGGAAGGACATCATTGCACCCTCCGCCTCACCTCGCACAGATGAGCAGGACCCTCCAACACTACTAGTATCTAAGGAAGGCAAACACGAGAAAAACAAAGAAGTTGCAGCTGATGTACCTTGCTTTGATCCCATCCTGGGCCTGGCCAACGTGCCAAAGTGCCTGGGGGCATTGCGCACGTTCTTCAACAGCAGTACCTTTGCCTTCCTGATTTTAACCTGAATGAATTGCAGCCCATGGACGAGGAGGCTTTGGATGCCTGGGCTGAATTCTCAACATCCAAGAGTGCTGCTACACTGGTAGTCCGCCTCGAGCAGATCGGCAAGCCTCTTGCCCAGACTTGCAAAAAGTCCCTCCTGACAGCATGTTTTCTTGTAAGTTGCAAGCCCTACGGGGCAGAACATTGCCCGGCTAAACACAAGCCAGGAAATCATCTCGAATGTTCAGCTGCTGGTACAGCGCAACGACTCTCCTGGGATGCGATTGAAGCAAGGACAACACTTGTGGAAGTCGCCGGGCTTGCGCACTGCACCTCTCGGAAGCTCAGCCGTCCCGCCTGCCAAAGCAACTGCTTCGCAATTCCTGGAAGCAACAGTGGGCCTCTTCACGAAAGCGCAGGGCTGCAACAATGAAAAGGTCTGCTTGCCTCTCACGAAATGGCTTGTTATTGGGGCCGCGTGAAAATTTACCGGGCCTGGGA